ACACATGGCAGAGCATGGGTATTTTATGAAGGAGAATAATTCCATGATACTTAATTGTGCTTATATGGAATCTGTATAAAGAACAATAGGCAGTTGTTGAACAGAACCTACTGCATGTTTTAACAGCAGGCAAGAGTGCACCAGGGTTGAATGCTTTCATCCTGTTTATTCCAGTGTGTGCTGAGGGGTGATCTGATGAAGGGGACCCAGCAGTGTGACTGGAGGACTGGCCATCCACAGTCTGTCAGGTGACTCCTGCGAAGGAAAAGGACTTGAGGCACCTCCTGAGGACAGCCTCAGCCTGGGCTGCATCTCAACATAAAGAAAACAGATGGCCCCACTGGGAGATTAAGCCACAGCACAGTAAATAGACTACGGTGAAGTTGTCAGGAGTTCATCTTGCTTAGATGCACCATCAATACCCTCGGAGGCAGCAGCCAAGAAATCAAGGGATGTATTTCATTGGACAAATAGTTCAACAAATCTAAAGTATTAAACAAGCAAAAATGTCACTTTGAGGACCAAGGCATGCCTCACCCAAGCCAGGACCTTCGCAATCACCTCAAATGCAGGCGAATGCTGAACAATGAATAAGAAAGTCAGAAGAAAACTGGCCGATGCATTTACATTTTGATGTTGGCAGAGAATAGGGAAAGTACTGAGGATGCCCGAGGAATGAGCAAATCTGCCCTCGGAGGACAGTCAGAATGTTCCTTAGACGTGAGGGTGGACGTGTTGCCCATCTTATCAGGAGACACCGGTCCCCAGAGAAGGCCGCCATGCTTGGCAAAGTAGACCGACCGGTAAAAAGAGGCAAGCCCTCAGCAAGATGGATGGACACAGTCGTTGCACTAATGTGCCACGATTGTCTGTTGCAAGGCTGGCAGCGTTTTCTTCCTTGTCAATAGGGTCACTATGAGTAGAACCAACTTCTGGGCGCCTAGCAACCACAAAGATACACATTCCTAGTTACAATGTGAGTTGATATGGACCGATCGTGGTGACTATTGTCCTTTCCAGCGTTGTTCCATGTTTTGTGTGCCCCTGTGTGTGTTTCTGTGAGGTAGAGCGGTACTGATGAAGTGTTTTGTAATACCGTAAATGTTACAGGAGATGTTTGTTTTAAAAAAAGCTATCTTCCATGTGAATTTGTTCATTCATGCTTACATAACGGAGTGTGCTAACCATGAATCATTCACACTGAATTACTTAGGGGAGGGCGGGGGGAACCCCTCTGGTTTTGCTGTCAAATTCCAAAGTTACTCTCCTAAAGGAAAAGAGAATGGTCCCACATAAAGAATAATTAGCCATAGATTTCAGACTATGCATGGCTCCAATTGGCAAAAAGTCTTTCGATTTCACATGAATACATGGGTCCTTGGGAGAAGGGCTCATATCTGAAAATGCGGTGTTCTGACTGCATTTGTGGGCTGCCAGGGGAGTCAATGGAAAAGTGAAAAAAAATTCAATCATCTGGAAGTTTTTGCACACAATGCCAGAATAGCTAAATGCTTCCACCAACAGAGGTACTGGCAAATATGTAGCTTGAGAGAGCGAGAGTGAGAGTGAGAGCGAGCAAGAGAGAGAGAGAGAGCATGATGGACTGCAGTTTCCACCGAGAGCCAGTAAACTGGCAGAGTGTCAATATGGCCTATCTGGGAGTTCACACATCATCTATTCATAACTCCCCTGATTCCAATGCCTTATTGTAAAATGCAGTCATGCTGAATGAAGCTGAATAAGGCCCTACAGACCAAGGTACAGAGCCAGTCAACATGGGGATAAGTGACAAGACTAGACATTCGGTCAGTGAGTTTTGAAGAATTGTGGACATGGCCAGTGCACCAGTCCGTGAAACAGTAATCCCTCAGAGGAAAAGTACTGGCCAGTGTGCCAAAATCTCAACGCAAGCCCATTGCTGCTACTAGACCTGGAACCCTGCCTCTGACCACCGTAGATCCTGCTAAGAGTCAAACATTAGAGGAGTGAGCCTGGTCTCCTGGATCTCCATTTAGACAGAGCCTTCCTCCCTCCATCAGGCTCCCTCTCCTTCTGCCTACAACAGAGAACGTCAGAAGACCTCTCAAAGTAAACTATTTTGTTTATCTGGGCACATTTAGGTTTTGTTATATGGAAAAAGCAAACAAACAAATGATGTATGTAAAAAGATTCTGCGAGGCCATACCTTAACACATTTGCCAACATGTAAGAAAAATCAAGTGTTTGTCTTTGTAACTTTTGGTTAAGCACTATACTTCCTATTTCTCTCATTTGGACTCATAGGAGATTACATTGTCCTCCCATTGAATAGAGACAACATTTGTTGGGTGTACATGCTCAAAAATAATTAAAATACTGAAAATTTCCCAAGAACACAAACATGACATGTTATCTTGATTATGCTTTTTTATAATGGATAAATTGCTCATTAATTATCTCGGTATGCTTAGCTTAGATTGGTACCATATATATGGGTATATATATTTTATTACACAAGCACACTGATCAGTATAATTAAGACTTCTAATATACATCTCAGGGATACCATGAGGATCTAGAAATTGCTGTTGTTATTGCCTCTTAGCCAGTTCCAACTCATAGCAACACAGTGTGCCGCGGCTCTCTGTTCAGCAGCGCTCCGTACTGCCCTGGCCGTTCTACTGTTGCTGTGTTCACCCACAATGTCAGCTCATCTCCTTGTGGGTCTTCCTCTGTTTTGTTGAACCTCTATCAAGGCTGATGCTCTTCTCTAGGAAATGATCTCGCCTGATAACATGGGCAAAGTGTGTGAAGAAATCTCCTCTCTGCGCTTCCGAGAAATAGTCTGACTGTGCTTCTTCCAAACTAGATTTGTTCATTCTTATGTAAGTTCACGTGTTTTTAATGTTCTTTATCAGCACCATAATTCAAGCACATCAGTTCTCCTTTCATCTTCCTTATTAATTGTCCAGAGTTCACATGCATACAAGGCTATTGAAAATACCATGGCTTAAATTAAAAACAAATAAATAGGTAAATAAATAAATTAAAAAAACACCACGACTTGGGTCAGGCACATTTCTTAGTCCTCCAAGTGACATCTTTGCCTATGAACAATTTAAAGAGATCTTTTGCAATATCTTTACCCAATGCAATTTGTCACTCTATTTCTCAATTACTGCTCCTATAGATGTTGATTTGTCGAATGGAGCAAGATTAGATCCTTGACAATTTCAATATTTTATGTATTTATCAATTTATCGTGGTATTGATTAGTGGTCAATGGTGGAGCTTTCAGTTTTCTTTGTGTTGAGGTATAACCAATACTGAAGACTGTATTCGTAGATCTTCAGCAGTAATTGCTTCCAGTTCTCTTGCTTTTCAGTGAGAATGGTTGTGTCATTTGCATATTGCAGGTTGTTAATGAATATTGCTCTAGTCCCAATGTCACTTTTTTTCATATAGTTCAGCTACATGAATTATTTTCTAAGAACACAAAATAACTATGCTGAAAGAATTCAACTGTGACACACATGCACAATTTAGATTGTGCGGTATCGCTTTGCTCTGTTTAAATGACTCCTTATTGGTCTATATACAGGCTTATCGTGAGCACAGTTAAGTATACTAGAATTTCCTTTCTTTGTAATAGTAATAGTATCTATAATTTACTAGGATCTATGTAGTCAAATACCTTTGCATGGTCAATAAAACCCTTGTAAGCATCTCTCTGGTATCCTCTGCTTTTAGAGAAGCTCCATCTGATATCGACAGTGGTTTGTGGCACGTTCTCTTCTGAATCTATCTTGGATTTCTGGCAGTTCTCTGTAAGATGGATTGCTGAAAATGTTTTAAAATTATTTCGCCCCAAATTTATTTATGTAACACATTAATGATATTAATCACCATCCCCACATTCTGTCTTATCATCTTTCTTTGGAATGGGTACAAATATGGTAGCTATGCTCCCAATTTCTTGGCATTGATCATGGCATAGAGTGAGCATTTGTAGTACTGCATCTATTTGTTGAAACATCTCAAGTATAATTCTGTCTAATATCTCGGTTCAGTTAGGACACCTTCCTCCACTATAAGTTCTTCCTCAAGTATCATATATATACTACCTCCCCAAATAGCTGAATGACAACTGATTGCTTTTACTATAATAACCATCTTCTTTAAGGCTTCTCGGATCATTCATTTTTTTACATTAGATTAATTCAATATTGGAACTCGAAGCTTGAATTTTTCCCTTTAGATTTTTAGCTTGAGAAATGCCCAGAGCGTTCTTCTCTTTTGCTTTTCTAATTCTAGGTCTTCGCACATTTCATTATAATTCAGTCACATTAATTATCACTTGAGAAGTGATAATTAATCACACTAGAGAAACGTGATAGGATGGTATGTTCCAAATATTATTATTGCTACACAGTCTTATATAATTTTACAGTTGATTTTAAATATTATGTCTTATGTTTAACACATATGTAAGAAAACACTTTTTAGGTTGTATGAACACAATTTTATTCATAAATGTTGCATTAATTTGGGTTTTATTATTTTTTAAGCATATTGCTATTGTCCTGAAGAAACGGGATCATTTTGCATTCGGTTATCCACAAACATTTTGATTGTTTTAATATTGATATACTGAATTTTCGCTATCTTTTAGGTATATTTCTTTCAATCATACTTAGACTCAAGTATATGAGATAAGCCACTTAAAAACATTCGCATCTAAGATTATGATGATGAGTTAAAATTCCTATATATATTTTGTCAGAAAAGTAGACAATTGTCTATTTAGGTTAGGCTATAGTAAATGAAGAGCAGATACAAAGATATGATACTCATAGATCTTCCCTTGTTGATATGAAGCAATTCTTAATCTCCTTGATTTCTAGGTCTCCTAGAGCTTAATGAATAGAAAAGTGGTTACTTAGACATTTTTGGTAAGAATGATTTCTGAGTTTGAATTATTAAAGCTTAATCTTCTTTGTATATGTATATATTTATTTCAGACTCCCAGGAAGGAAACTATAAGTCAGAAGTCAACAGCAAACCCAGAAAGGAAAGGACAGCCTTTACCAAAGAACAAATCAGAGAACTTGAAGCAGAATTTGCTCATCATAATTATCTGACCCGACTGAGGCGATACGAGATAGCCGTGAATCTGGATCTCACTGAAAGACAGGTAAAGCTGGTAACTGCCATTAGATGGCATTTTAAACTATGCTTTGGGCTGATGATGTTCTTTCAATTTTTTTTCTTTTGGAAATGTCCAGATCTATTGTTTCTATCCATTTGGAGGATTGGTGTATTATTTCAGGATAAAATTTTGATCCAGCAGATAATTGTATGGTAGTATTTAAAGAAAGCAGACTCACTCCATTAAGGGTCTACCCTTTATTCTAGAATAATGGCCTTTAAAATTTTTGGTTTATTTTCTCTTTTTTGTAATGGTGGTCTATACTGAGGAGTTTGATTATAATTGGAAATCTTACTTGGCAAAATGAAAAACTGGCAACCCCATGATGATCTCCTGCATTTCTTATGATAGGGTATGTAGTATGTTGCACTAACACATTAACCTCAAATCTTCAAGAAACTCACTGCCATCAAGTGCACATCGACTTATAGCCCCCCCCCCCCCCCCCCCCCCCCCCCCCCCGCCCTCCATGCACACACTACCGCACGTGGGTTTCCAAGATGAACTGTTTATGGGAATAGAAAGCCCCATGACCTAACATAAAAGAAAAAAATGTTTATTATTTTACTCATTTTACATTATTTACTCATTTAACTCTACAAATTTGGCACTTCAAATAATCATCCAGGGACCACTTCTGAATCTCTGGCATCTTAGAATCTGATCTCAATGGTAAGCATAGGCAGTAGAAAGGACTTAGGCTCTCATGTAGAAATGACCCGTATCACTTACTTTTTCATCTAATGTAGAAAATTGAAAAAAAGATCACATAATATAGCTTAGGTTCAAGGGAGTGGAATGGGGTAAAGACCAAGTAGGTCATTGAAAAGTGTTTCTGCCCCATCAACCGAAGTATTTTTAAATTTTATTATCCCAAACCAAAAACAAACCTCTGTCATAGATTCCCAGATGTTAAAAATTCTGATCGCTTTGAAATTACTAATGGTATGTGAAGCCCAGTTAATTAGAACTATGTAATTTAAATCACTTTCTTGAATTTCATTTGAATGGGAAATGATTTGGCCCAGTAGCGGACAGCCTGCTCATTGTATAGAATCTGTTTTGCCACAGGAAGATCTAGCCTACTGATGGTTAGCAGTTGCTAATCTTTAGAAAAAATATTCTTGAAAAGGAAATACAAATATCTTTATGGACAGTGCAGTAGGATTCACACCCTTAGGGCTAGATCGAGTTTGATGTCCACTCTCATTGTAGGCACCTCCTCCAGGGATCGCATTGAAATCAAAGAAACATCAACAGGGTGTGGATGAATAGATATCTTAGAAGATCAAGTTATTCTACCCAGTTTCTTAAATCATCTGCTTTTCTTCTGCTGCTTTCTGTATTTCTGCTTTTGGTAGGAGATTTCCAGATAGTGGAAATACAGAAAAATACTTAAAATTGGTGTTATTCATTGGTTGTTTATATTTTATTTAGTATTATGACTAGTGCCTCGGTGATGGGGTGCATTTTCCTTTCCTTAAAGCTTCCATACAGTTTCCTCCAAAAGCATGCAGCATTTGGTATGCTCAAAAGCAAGATCCAAAATCTACATCATCAGACATCTGTTTTATTTTTATTTTATATTTAACTGGGATCAGGAAAAAAGGAAGTGGGTATTACACATTGATATTCTTCCATAGAGACAGTAAACTCCAGGAAATGTGACCATGTTTTATGTAGTCATTAAGGAAATAAGAAATGAGGGTTTGTTTCTAATCTATAGAAATGATGGGAGACCAGTACTCAGCTCCTATCAAGAGTAAAGACCAGATTCTCTGTTGCTAATGTGGTGATAGGCTATAGTTATCTCTCATTTACATGGCAGCGGTTTTCCTTCTTTGCCTACAGATACTTTGTTTTTAGAGTTAGTTCTGTAAATCTAGTTTGGAGACTTTGAAGATATTTTGGGTCCTTCTTGGAAAATATCCACAGTTATCAAACAATAACATTCATTTACCCCCATAAAGTATTACCATAATACATATAAACACAAGCCCACACAATTAAAATTTTTGCTTGTTATAAAAGTTCTATTTTTTAACTTTGTAACAGTTAGTCTAAACTACCCACCCATGTCCAATTTATTTGCTCATTATTTTGAGACTCAAGTCAGGGTTTGGGGATATCTCTGTTGACGCTCTTTGCTGGTTTTGCCTACATCATACAGGCCGTTGCAGTCTGCTGGTAGGTTAAAGGCGAGTTTATTAATCTCGGTGGCAGCCCTTGGGAGAACTTGTCTAAGTTCCATGCAGTTTGAACATTGACTAGGCTGGTGCTGGTCTCCCACGATGATTAGAGATTAGAAACCAACCCTAGCTTCTTATATCCTTAATGTACTGCATCAAACGGGTAGACATTTCCGAAGTTTTTGCATAAGGCAGTAGAAATATTTCCAAGAGTAATGAGAGTGAAATCAAACTCCAAGAACTTTCCAACCTTCTACTTATTGGTATTTACTAATGTCTCATTGACCAAAGTAAATTTTGTGACCAAACTAAATGCTAATGTAGAAAGGGACCACTTAAGGGAGTGGTTACAGGGAGTTTGCATTCATTGGAGGCCAGTACTGGAAAACAACAACAACAACAACAAACCATGACTTCACAGGAGAAAGCACAACCAAAAACCTTGAGAGGGAATTAGGTGCTCAAGAAATTAATAGTATGCAAGAAAAATAGTTTAGCCCATAATTTTCTACTTGCTCTTTTAATGTGAAATGGAGAGTGACATGTGATATCTACATTTCCAATCAAAACTAAGTCTTTAGAAGGTTTCTCACTTGGATTTTATAAGATTTTGAATAAAAATCTTCAATTTGACACTCGAAATTGTGTAATCTTAGATAAGTAACAATCTCCCTTACACAACATTTCTATGAAACAGTTGGCTTCCTCCCCGCGCCCCCCCCCCACCTCTAAGTGGGTTGATAGTTTTAATGAATATGGAAGATGAAAAAAAAACGCTGTTGAACAGAACTATTACCCACATCGGAGGCATGGAGGGCTCTTACTATGAATGTTGCAATAATTATTCCATATCACAATAATGGTTTAATTCAACCCACTGCCATTGAGTGAGTTTCAACCCATAGCAACCCTGTAGGACAAAATAGAGCTGCTCTATAGGGTTGCTGAAAAAGTAAATCTTTGCCGGAATGAACAACCTCATCCTGCTCCCGGGGAGTGGCTGCCGAATTCAAACCTGCTTCCTGGTTCGCAGCTCCAGCACAGCTCCTCGACCTTGAATCTTGTTAAACACACGTGGATCTTTGCTAGAGTTCATGAAAAAGCAAAGTGTTGGACAAATATCAACAATTGTGAGATTCTCAGGAGACGGTTTCTATTGACACCAAGTACTCAGCAAATGTCTACAATTAATCTGCACATATATTACTTAAAAATAAGAATTTGGAGGCTTTGCTTATATATATTTATTTACATTTTTTTTAATTAATCAATTTATTGGGGCTCATACAATTTATCACAATACATAGATCAATTGTGTAAAGCACATCTATACATTTGTTGCCCTCATCATT